TGCTGTAACAGATCTGTATTCCCATTTTTATGCTCAGCGACACATATACACATTTTGTTTTTCAATATCATACAAACGCCAACATTTCATTGTGATTTTATCCATTGGAATGTACGGGTTTTCAATTGTTTCGAAACAGTTGTAACTGTTCTCATCACATGTCTATTTCTGTGTATCAAGTTTCAATTTCTAAGGCAAATGAATGTTCGCGATGTCGCTGACGCTGTTCTACTGGTTTCATACACGTATATACAGAGAATGGTCTTGTCTTGTTCGGTTTATGAATTTATCGATCGTCTTTCCATCGAGTTGGAATTTCGTGCTCATGTTGACATTTTCAGCAACGATTTTGTTTTTATTTCATTTTGTCATGACATGATGCATTAGTTTCTGTTGTTGTTTATTCGCTTTATTCGCTCCTTCTATGCGATGCTATTGCCATTTTGAACCAGATTTTATAGCAACAATGGAATGCATCTATTTTTATTACATCACACAAAAATCGATTTCCATTGTGGATAGCAGCCAAATTGCAATTCTGCAAGCGAAATGACTGCATTTTGCTCGATACTCACACCTCCCGGATGGGTATCCCGTTGCTCGTGTGGTCGTTCATTCAGAAACATTCAATCCATTTGGCCAATCCACACGCCAATTACTTTCATTTTCAACGTTACACAGACACACTGAATCGATAGCTGCGTGCAGTTCATTTAATAATTATAATTAACCAGGAAATGGTGTGAAGAATTTCGTTAAGCTTGTAAATTAAATGCGGCTAAACAATAATGACGGCTTTTTTTTAGTACAATTCGTACAATTCCGAATATCTTTATCGTTCGCAACAATAGATTAGCGAGCAAAATTTATAGTGGAAACGCACGTAATTCACACCTCTGTACAATTTTGTATTGGAGATAAGATTGAAATTTATTACTTTGGGTTGCCAGTGGCTTCAACTTGCCACCATCAAAATGCCTGCATTTTATTGATTAACCGTACAAGAAATACCCGCACAGGTTGCAATGTTTCTTCAATGGAATTAATCATGAATATTGCAAGTTAACCAATCATTTGTTTTGTATTTTCACATGATTTTGTGTCAGCTTGTTTCCAGTTCGATTTCTTCATTTGAATCTGCATTAGCGAATCAAATGATATTTCGACATTACGATACATGACGCAAAATTTTTTTCTATTAACTATTCAGAAATATATGTTTGATTTAATATGATGAAAAATGCAAATTAACCCCACCGCTTGTATTTAAAACATTGATAAAAATAACATGACCAACGGCATCGATTGATGATTTATCGATTTAATTGGAAATTCAAAATGTTTCGAATATTAACGATGATTTATCGTTTCACCGACTGACCGACCGACCAAGTCTATCGTTGAAAAATTTATCAGAAACATTGGAAAATCAGAACATTTGAATATCAGTTGAAATTCCGACGGCGTTTTATTTTGTCATTGGCCGATATATGTATATTTTGCAGGAATTTCCTTCACGTGGAAACATTCAAGAAAAATGCAAACCGATAAATAAATGAAATGTGACAAATATACGTATATTACACTGAATTTGTTAAAACAAACAAAAAATCCGCAGCGCCACCGTTTTGGAAAATTTCCCAACACAAAATATACGATGTAGGATTTTTTTTAGAGTGTTCCTATGAGTAATAATGTGAGAATTGTTTCTGTTTCGGTTTAGTAGAGCGTGAGCGTAAGCGAGAGAGCGTGATCAAGAATTTAAAATTGAAATGACCGAATGGAAACTATAATTGAGATTGTGATAATGGTTTTTTAAAGTTTAGAAATTAGTGTGTGCTGCGCCGACAGCTATAACGAATCATTATGAAAAATGTGCTTTGAACAAAACAAAAAAAAACAAATATGTCTTATTTTTAGCGAACGAAACGATAAAATGTTAGGAAGGTGGAAAAAGAGAAATAAACTGATATATGTTGTAATAATATCCGCAACATTTAAAGACCATTATGTTGATTTGATTTAAAGCATGCTAAATAATTGACAACGATTTTTTCATGTAGAAATGAGGAACATTTTGCATGACACAATTCAACAACACGAACATTTGATTTTGTCTTTTCTTTCATTTGTGTTATCATTTATACGTTTTGATACACATATTATTCATTCATTATTCACTGCATGTAGAATGACAGACAGAGAAAAAACAAATGATTGGTTCGACTGTTACAGAATTCTGTTCCAATGAAGTGACTGTCAAAAAGAGAGAAAACATTTAATTGTATATTTTATCATTTCGAATTAATTGCTTTAATTATATTCTGTTCTTAGTCGTAAGCATTTTTCATATAAAAATAGAACGAAACCAGAATCTGACAAAGATGTAACTCATACTGATAAATATTTCATAGGATAACAATGATAAAGCAAAAAAAAAAAAAATAAAGTGCATAAAAGACACACGTACGTAACAAGTAGATTTTTAATCACCAATATACCGAATAGAGAATTTCTCAAATACATTTTCGATTGTTCCATCATTAGCGCCATGCTATTATACATTATAATGCCAGTAAGACCTATTTCATCGAATTTCATGTCTTCCTCCATAAACATGTAAACCAAGTGCATTGTACTTAAAGGAAGAGGTCCGTTACACATCAGTGCCATTTTTGTTTTTGATTCCAGTTAACCCAAAATGAAACCATTAAATTTTGAGGCTGTGAGAATGAAAATGGCAATACAGGAATAAACATTCTGAAATGCATCAAGAAAAAAAATTCGCAAAAATGAATCATGAGTTCTGAATATGAAAAAGTGAAACATGAATTTACATGGGCAGCATAGGAGGTTCATGGTTCACTTTTGCGTATTCAAAACTCATGATTCACTTTTGCGAATTTTTTTTTCTTGATGCGTTTCAGAATGTTTATTCCTGTATTGCCATTTTCATTCTCACAGCCTCATTTAATTCTCCTTTATTGGAGAAAAGTTCACGAGGAAGAAAAAGACAAACAGAAAATTAGAATGTGCACTTGATAATTGATCTAAATTTACGAAAATAGCCATATGGAATAATTAGACTAGTGTCGGCCATCAGGAAGATATAATTAGACAGATAAATATTCTATGCGAATTGAGAATGAGCAAATACTCAAATTGAAATGCAAATTGTTAGCGTATGTACTTAATTATTCAATCTTTAATTGAATCACGATTCAAAATTACCACATAGTCAAACAGTACCATTGCAAGCTCTTGATATTCACATTGCCTAGAGATAAGGCCGGCAAATTTCAACTGAAAAATTAACCAAAAAAAAAAAATATTCCGAGAAAAATGTGATGTATGTAAAAATTGGCAGATAATTTTTGATTCAAGAAACTAGTTTAATGTACACACAAATGTAAATCACATTCAGAGTGGGCATCATTTAACACAAACGTAGACTCAGCCACTGTCACAAAAATATAAATAAAAAGACGAGCATACTGTAAACTAAAACACCAAATACACATAGAAAGAATGGAACAAAGCATAGCGTGACGATAAAATTCCAAATTAAAAAAAAACATGTGTAAATTTAAACGGACTTTTTTCTTTCATTTCGTAATTTGCGTAAAAATATAGGAGATTGTTCTCGGTAGAGAATGAATATGCACGGAGAGGCTCGAACGTGTATCAGTGAGGGGTAAGTAGTGTGAAGTGACAAAACAGAAAACATACTTTTGATGACCCGAGAAAGAAAAAAATTATCGGACACCCAACGATATCACCGTTGTGCCCATTCTGTCTCATCTCAACATGGATTTCATTGTGTTTTAACTGCTGGATGCGGGTCAAACCATAATTCATGCCAGCTTTCTAGGCGACAAAATACGCATTTCCCTAATCTCTCGACAAAAGACGTTCAATCTTTCTCTCTCGCACACTGTGATATTACTATCAGGCATACAAGCGATTTCTGCTTACTCCACCAATGCTTTCAGATGTTGATTAAAAATGACCTTTGACCATTTTACTTATTTTTCAAACTGATAAGCAGCCTTAACATCACTCCTAGCATCCATATTACATTCAGAAAATTTCGAATTTAGTTCGCAGTTGAGTCGCACAACGAACATACTTCTCTTAGGCTTTGGTCAGTTATCGTCGATCATGGCGTTCTATTTTCAGTTGGTAGGAAATCGAATTCAGTGAATATTTATACGGATTTTTTTGTGTTTGACAAGTGATGATTTTTTTGTAGATTATTTCCAGTGGTTGAAAAAGAGTTTGAAGTATTGATTACACTCAGTAATTATAAGGTTATAGAAGTGATCATAAAAATCACATACTTGCAACATGACCACTTGATCCGGGTAGAATTTCGTCACACCATCGTCTCATATGAAACATAATCGACGTTTCTCAACTATACAGTTTCTTTATTACATACGTCAATGAATTTGAAAGAAATCGTCTATTTTCAATATTCAAGTCAACTTGTGACCCCTTCAAAGCTGAAGAGATAAGAAAAACACTCAAATAGCTCCAAATCCCTATAAATATTAGAAATTTATTGGAATTTATACTCGTGTTGTTAGTGAAAAAATTGCTTTGACTACATATACACATTCGATTTTGATAAAAAGGGAGCTGGAACCGCGGATATTCTGTTAATGCGCATGCAAGTTGATTTTCAGCTGCCGAAAAAATCTTTTTTCAAAAAATGAAATATTTTCTAGATTAAAAATCTCACAATTCTTATTCAGTGCAGAGTGGGTTTCTGAATATGATGAATCGTAAATGAATTTTGGAACAATTTCTGTAAGTAAATTTACTAGTAACATAAAGAGTGATTCATTCTAGTGAGGAAAAAAAACAATGGAAATGTCTCCCTTTCCAATAAAGTGAAAGGATTCAAAATATTGAGCAAAGATTCTAAAATAATTCTATGAACACACCCAAAAAATATCCGTCGACATCAATTTTCACAGTGTACAATGATTTTTCTTTTTTTTTGAAGTGTAAACATCCGTTTGTGCAAGCTCCTTTTCAGTGAATTGTAGATAACAAAGTTGTGATTCACATTGGCATGTGAGCAGTTGATATGATGCTGTGCCATTAGTGTGTCGCCACGACATCAGTCCCATAAGCACGAGTTGTCCAAGTTCACAAAGGAAAGAATCGTGCACGTCTAGCCATTGACCTTTGCAGCGATAAACGTTTAAACATCCTCTTTTTTGTCAGTTGAAGGGAAATGGATTTTTTTTTGAAAACACATTTTTTTTTTCTTTGTAGCATTCATGGTGATAAGGTGAACGAAGTGTGAAAAAAAGAATTGAAAACAGAATGAATGAGGCATGATTAAACTCAACAAACAAGAAAGCATAGTACAGAGTTTACTCGTATGTTTTTTCTAGTGCACAAACTAAATGATTATATAGACTCTGTTGAGAGAAGTGATAAAGCAAATGGACGTGTGCTAAAGTTAAATTTAAACATAAGTAGCACACGACAAAAAACAAAAACAAAAAAAAAGAATAAAAAACCACAATGATAATAAAATACTTGACTAAGATGAATGTAATCAGCATCGGTTTAATCATTACCACTACATTGTTTGCTGGTTGTTTGAGCGAACGAGCAAGTATGTGTCTTAATCACAGTGTTTACGTTTCAATTACTATAATTCCGACTTGATATTTAACTTTCTCACAAAAATGAAATTGCACTTTTTTGTTGTTAGATCCACTAAAAGATCCGCACATTTGCGGTCGGCCTAACTGTGAGCTGGAGAATACAAAATTTAGTTATTCTCCAAATACACGCTATCTCTACGCATACAATGCACACATTCGATCGGAGTTTAATGGCACTGGTCATAATTCGTCGAATATTTACGTGTCCGGTACAGTGGAGCTGACTTTCCCGAAAAAATGTGAGGGTTCCATGAAATTGATCGATGTGGAATTAAGAGAGCGGCCCATTGAAGAGGAAGCCAGCGGCGAATATAATTCCGATGAATCGGTCCCATTGAATAATTTACACAGTCGATCGGCTGAATTTGCAGACGATGTGCAAAAATATAATTTGAGGTAAATTTTAGAAATCCATATTCTGGTAAAATAATAGAGCCAATGATTATAAACATAGAATATTGCATCATTCGAAAACATTCTATTTAAATTGAATCGGAAATTCGGATGAAAATGCATGTACATAATTCTTGTTCATACGTATATCGATTTCCATGTGCAATGTTGGACGATGATTAATGGCCCAAAACTACATTTCACACCTTCATATATTCAGATTTTCATTCCATGATGGCATCGTTGACGAGCTGTGCCCAGAACCAGACGAACCCAATTGGGTAATGAATTTCAAGCGTGGCATCCTGTCATCATTTCAAAACTCAATGAAACGCTTCGACATCGACTACAAATCATGGGAAACGGATATATCCGGATCATGTAACGTTGAATATGTGGTAAATGGTGCGTCGGGCACCAGTTTGCTCATACAAAAGCGCAAAGATATTACATCGTGCATAAATCGTTACAAAACCAATTCAATTCTGCAAACGACACCCTACGACTTTAGGAAACAGTATTCGGTGTTGCCGGTGCTACAATCGGCGAGCTACTGCAATGTAACTGCCCACACACATACACATACACATACACCGCAATTGCATTTATTTTGCGTGTAAAATGAATTTTGTGCTTCCTTTTTTCAGATCATTCTCGACCATAGTGTTTACCAAGATGTTAGCTGCTATGAACGTCATCAATTTGTGCCGTTTTCCAATAACGGCACCGGTGCCGTAACCACATCCAACATTACGCTGTCACTGTTGGAGGAAATACAGTTTGAAGTTGAAGAATCCACCGGATATGAGACGGAAAATGCGATTAAAAAACGTGAAAAACTTTTATTCAATCACTATCCAACGCCAAAGCATACAACTGGTGAAATTAAAATCGCACGCAAACTTCTCGTGCAAATGTGCCAATTCGGGTTTCCAGACATCAAACGACAATTCATTGATGTGTATTCGAAATTCTTACAAAACGCTCGACAACTGTCAACCACCGCACTTCATCAACTGTTTTCACGCGCTTCGAGCATTTGCAACGACAATGATAACGGAAAGTAAGCGATATTTTTGTAATTTTTGTTATAATTTATTCATTCACTACCACCGACGGAGTAGTTTCAAAGTAATTAGAAATTTTTACACATAAGCTGTGTAATCGAGAGTAATTGCGTTGAATTAAGGTCATACTTACCGCTTCGATTACATTTCGCAGGAACCATATTCTGGAAAGTTTACCATACATCGGTAGCACGGCATCTGTCGAGATGATGGCACAAGAAATCATTAAAAAGTCCATTAGCAATGACATTGCTCAAAAGTGGCTCTCATCCATCTCATTTCTTCCCAGGTACGTTTCAAGCCATTTATTAACTTGATAATAATAATTCATCATATTAATTATTTATAAAAACTTATTACACAGACCAGATGAACAAATGTTACAAGCACTGTTCACCGTTCTTAAACACGAGATAAAGAACCGCGAGCCAATTTTCATACTTTCACCAACTGCCGTTGTACACACATACTGTCGCAATCATCATGACTGTGGTGAAAATGATGAAGTCAAGGCTTACATCGATTTTCTCGAAAGAAATGCACTTGTCGAATTGGAGAAGAATCTGTTGGTGCGAGCAAATCGAGAAAAGGTTAGTTATTTCTACAACTCAAAAGAATATCAACTCTCCGGCAAGATATCTATCTCTGACAGTTGATCTCTTTCAAGCTTGAGAAAAATACTTTATGTTCCTTTGTCCCATTTTGTAATTCCAATCATTTCTCTTCCTTTAATCGAGAATACCTTCATTTCAGGCGATAATTTTGCTACGAGGCATTGGTAACATCGGTCTTATGTCAAAGACATTCCGTTACAAAATGCGTGAATACATTGACAACAATGACATTCCGGTTGAGGTTCGAGTGAATATCATAGCCGCACATCGTCGCACCGACTGTGAAAAGAATCGAGATTACTTCTTGGACACTTATCGACGCACCACAGTGAATTCGGAAATTCGAATCGCCGCGTATTTGGAAACAATGCGATGCCCGGATTATCTTACGGTTAAACAAATCAAATTCGTCCTTGAAAATGAAGAAGTGAATCAAGTCGGTTCATTTGTTTGGTCACATCTAAAAAACATTGCCAAATCCGCGTCGCCAGTTCGTGTCGCAGCGCAAGGACTTTTGGTTGATGATGATTTAGGCAAGAAATATAAAATGGATTTCCGCAAATTTTCACACAATTTCGAACACAGTCTCTTTTTTGATGAATACAATTTTGGCTTGAGTAGCGATGCCAATTTGATATTTGGCACTGATTCATACATGCCACGATCGGCTTCATACAATTTTACCGTCGATTTGTTTGGCGAATCGGTGAACATTTTCGAGGTGTCGGCTTATATGCAGGGATTTGAACACATGGTCGAAGGTATTTTTGGGCCAAAAGGACCATTGTCGACCAAAGGATTCTCGGACAATGTCGAAGCGGTTAAAGATTATTTTAAAGAGAAAATTGCTCCTATCAAGGGTAAGTGTATTACGATGCAGTATCTAGTTAAAACGTCTAAATTGTGTTAATTTTGTGAAAAGCATTCGATTGTTATTAAATTGCATTGTACTTTCAAGCCCAAATTGACGCAAAATCTGTCTTATTTCAGCCGAAACTATTGATAAAATAAATCTAAGACTACGCCGTGACGCTGACCAACAGAAGAAATCGACAAATAACGATGAGCAGGATTATGAATTGGAAAACGAAGACTCGGACAAGCCAAAAACTGGCACAGATTCTCCAAATTATCCACAAGATTTGCAAAACGATGTCAAGAAGCTCAACTATGATATTAAGTAATTACTTTTATATTGACTTTTTTACTTCAAAATCGAATTTGAAAACCATTTGCGAAAACTGGGTCAAACTTCAATAGTAATCAAATTCAATTTAAATTCTTTTCTTCCTTATCCAATGGAATTATTCCATGTCATTCATTCATTTTTCACACGATCTAATTTCAATCGTCTCTTCATTTTTATTTGAAGATACAATATGAATAGTCCGCGTGCTGCATTCGGATTGAAAATGTTTGGCAACGACATCAAATACAAAACATTAGAAGATCTTCGTGAGGTGTACGCTCTTTTCAACGATTTAAATCCAATGAATCAATTAAAACAATTGCTGTCGGGCAAAGAGATAATTTACACAAAATCGGGTGTATTCCTTGAGGCATCGTATGAGGTGCCGTTAACATCTGGTTTTCCATTGGCATTGCATGCATACGGAGCATCATCGATTGATTTGCGTGCATCGGGTTCGTTGCAAGGCGATAATTTCTGGGAAAACCCTAAATTTGCGATAAATGGTAAACTCAAGCCCAGTGTATCATTAGATGTTATCGGATCGATGCAGTTCGACTATTTCTACGGAACGTTGGGTATTCGTGTTAAATCGAATTTATATTCAAGCTCATCGGTCGAAGCAAAACTCAAAGTGGACGGAAAAAATTATGTGTCACTGCAATTTGGATTACCACAAGATCGAAATGACATTATAAGTGCACGCAGTGAATTGATTGTGTTGCAACATGAACGGGAAATTCGGCAGCCGGGCATTGAAAAGCGTTATGCAAATTCAACGTGTACATGGCCGGGCATCGAACGAGCCGTTGGATTGAAAGTGTGCAGTGATTATAGTTTGCCGGATGTAAGCAAAAGTGTACGGCAATTGCCGAGTTTGTTGTTGTGCGGTCCAATTGATATCGAAATGCATGTTGATAAAGCTGATGTGAGTGCGAAAACATTTTCCATTGAATACAAATGGCATGATGCACCGGGCGATCGATCAAGTGGAACATTCATATTTGAAACGCCATACACCGAAATTTCGCGTATATTCACTGCAAACATTACAAAAGAACCGGATGAATACAGCCTAAAAATGAAATTCGAAAACGGAAAGACAATCCATTCGGCAACGGCATCGTACAAAAATACCGACGATGAAAAATCAGTTGAAGCCAATCTGTTGATTGACAGCCAAAAGAGATTCTCTCTCGAAATGGGTTTGAATCGAACGATTATCATCCATGGTTGGATTTATCATCCACGATTTTCATTGGCTGTGAGTAACGAGGAAATTGTTGGGCTATCGGGAACGGTGAAAAAAATCGGGAAAAATAAAATTATGCAATACGATCCGCAATTGGAGTTTTGGACGAAAAAATTCAAAGCAAGAATGACTGGGTACATTACAACGACTGAGAGTAAATTTTCCACCAGATTGCTGGTGAACTACAAGTTTGATCAGGACAATGAACAGCTTATCGATTTCGAAAGTGAGATCGAAGGACTGCACGATGGATATCGAAGCAGTTTGGTTGGAATGGCAAAATGGAATACGACCGCATATAAAAAGTATAACTTTAAAGCAAATATCAATTATAAACGTGTTCTGAGTCACATTGAACTGGGATTGAATGTTAACAATGCCGTCGATTTTATGGATCCAAAATATAATCTGGGCATTCGGTTGGCTCTCATTAAAACCGAACCCGATGACAGAGAATTCAATTCACGTACAAATTTTACCATCGAAGTTACCAGACCCATATCGAAAATTTATTACAAGTTCATGGTCAAGTAAGCAACATACTATATTGACGCTCCGTTTTATTCGCTGTTTAATTATTGAAATTCTTATTAATAGATACAATACAAAAATCAAACGAGGACCTTTGCACAATATTATGCTGTTGTTTCGCTATGCGGAGAATAAAGAAGCAACAATTGTCGTTTCGGCTATGCTTCCGTCCAGTTACTCACGAAATATTGATTTTTACTTGAATGTTCAAATACCGGGCTTTAATTCGTGTACGGCACGTTTTCAGGCAATTGAACGAACCAAACGACTGCAGTATGATGTAAGTTTGAATGGGTGGTTTGATTTATTTATAGACAAAAACACCAAAAATGAATGACTTATTTATATTGAAGTTTTTCCGAACAAATTGTTCACAACTGAAAATATTCAACAAAATATCACGTGGTTTGATTCAAACGTTAAATTTCAAATTCCCATTTTGTTTGATACATTTTACTTCAATCGATAAAAAATTTAATTTTTTTATAAATAATTCTATTTTGTCTAATTTCTAGATAAAAGTTCAAGGAACATGGTTCACCGGGCATTCTATTGAGATTTATGGAATGTATGACGATAAGAGCTCAACACATGAATCACGACATCAACTTAAATTGGTTATGAAGAGTCCGCATTTCAATGAAACGACCATTTTGGCACGTTATCTACTGAATGAAACTGCAATGCAAATAGAAACCAATATCGATTATGGTGCAAATCCGTATGGTCTCATCATTGGCCACAATCATTTTGGCTTTTACGACCAAAGTGTCTATGGTGAATTGAAGATTTTAGAGAGACGCTATTGGGTCAGTGCTCGATTGAGCGATGAAAACTTCCGAAAGCTATCGATTGATTTACACATTGATCGGTGAGAATTTTATTGCATTCTGATTTCAATCTCTTCATTTGTTTTTTTTTCTCGAGTCATTTTTTTTCATTTACCCAAGACTTTTCATCCAGTTAGTTATTCAATAAATAAAATCTAAGCACATAACACACATTAAGCTGAGTGAATAGTGGATATAAACAACTTTGAAATGTTCTATTTATTCGCAGCACACGTGAGATTCGTTTGATCATCGGCGGTCAATCAACGCCACAGAAAAAGGAAATCGAAGTGAAAGTCTCGTGGGATTCGAATCGTGATCCAACGCAAGAGGTATAATTAAAATTCTTTCGTTAGAATGCTTTTTTAAACCGATATTCTCCGTCATATCGATTAGTTGAATGATTAATACAATTTAATTAATATGAAAATAAAAATAAGCAATTGAATAGTTTCAAAAAAAAAAAAAAAAAAACATTTTCTCTTACATCAATAGCTATTTTTGAATGCTGAATTCAATACACCCACATACAAAACGTATGATGGAGGTTTTACACTTTCCTATCCAGCGCGAACGTTCAGTGGCTCGTTCGATTTGGCTGTACCTGGTCCGACGTATCGTGGTAACGTTAGCATTGGTTGGCGATCAAATGAAACCATTCACCTAACATTCGACTCTGGTGCATATTACGAACCAAAGCGACACATCTGGATTGATTTGCGGCTAAAAACTCCATTTGTTGACTGGCAAACCAATCAGTTCAGTGCCCAAGTGTATCAAGCCAAAAATCTGTTCTCGAGCAATGCAACGATTCTGTGGGCCGACAGTCAAAAGCTTATTCTAGGTGCTTTGACTGACTTTGAATTTGATGATCCAAACATAAAAATTGAAGCCAAACTGCTTGTCAACAGTACAGTGAAACAAGTGCCAACAATCAATGCTGCATTTAGACATCATCAAGATAAGCGTCACTACATCACGGACGTTTCAATTCATCATGCACCGCACGATCAAAAACCAAACATTTTCGGTATTAAATCCGCATGGCAAATACACTCGAATGATCTGTACAGAAATATATCCGGTTCGATAATGATGCAAACACCATTGAAAGGCTATTCAAAAGGCTCATTAGCAACGAAATTCTCGTTGAGTTCGGTCAAAGCACTTCGTGGTGCTGCCGATTTCGAGCTCGAAGCCAAGAAATTCACATTGGCCGTTGATGGAACAGTGAAAAAGGTCACCGATTGCATGCTAGTGGTGAATATTACCACGCCCATTGAAAAATACCGAAATATTGTCAGTCGATTGGGATTGGTAAATCGTAAGCGTCATTTTGTCGCTGAAGTTCGTGCTCCAGGTAATTATTGCGTGAATTTGATCGAATTGGAAAAAAAAAAATTTATTTTCACATCCAATTTTTTTTAGGTGGAGCACTTGGCATTGAGTGTAAATTCAATGTTGAATCAATGAGCCGATTTAATGTGATTTTCAATTTGGAAGCGCCGATTATTTTCAGTTTGGACACACCAATCGAAAGTTTTAAGAAAATTATGCTCATCGCAAAACTGCGACCAGACATGGTGGATTTCAGGGGCGGATTCAATAAATTTGTTCTGGGTTATGTTGGTGTATCGCGGAAAACATCACTCGAAGACTTTGAATACTCGTGGAAAGTGTACACACCGTTAGATCACTTTGAAGAGAGCAGTTTGGTGATAAAATTCATTCGAAAACAAATCTTTGATATGGAAGTCATGTTGAAATTCGCACAAAAGAAATTGGGAATCATTGTGAATGGGAAATCAAAGGAGAAATTGATCAATTTACCAAAAGTTGAGCATTCGTTACCATTTAAGTCGAAGTTGTCTGAGGATTTTGATAAATTTTTGAGATATTTTGTAGACGAAGAAGATTCAAGCGAAGATGTTAGTTTACATCAAGAAGAGGTGGATAGTGAAAGTGGTTAGTGTTTTAGCAATATTGCTCCATCATTTTTCTCATTCATAGTATTTTGAAAAAAGAACAAATTTTTAATAGGAGAAATTAAAAAAAAATCGCATCAATCTCTTTCAATTTTTCCCAGGTGAATGGAGTTTATTGGGTCAAATGGAATTGAATACAATCATTTGGCCGACAATTTCTGGATTTTTGGATGTTGACGACATTGATGAAGAGTACTATGTAATTCGTAGTACATTGAATCTGCCGGTGGGAAATATTATTGTGAATGATCTGTTGTATTTCCCCGATTATATGCATGTACACAATTCACTACAACTTGCCACACCGTTCGACGCCTACAAAGAAGTTGAATTGCTCTACCTGCACTGTGCAAAACTCGGCCATTTCTACGTATCAGCTTTGGAATTATTCTATAAAAACGGTACAAATTGGACTGAATTGGGATTCAATTCAAATTACACCAAAGTCATGGATGTCGATTTCAAATCCCATGACATCGCACTGAATTTGTTCTTACCGTTCGAAACGTTGCCGCGTGTGATGTTGGCAGGTGGTATTGAGATCGCTGAATCAACGTACAAAGCAAACATTTCCGGTCGTACATTAAACACGGCCATGTCATTGGCAGCTGATTTGGAATTCGACACGAATTTCATTGATCTCAAAGCTGGATTAGCGTTAGCCTCACTCGCTATACCGCACTATGAGCTGAAAGTAGTTTACAAACAAGATCTTTCCGATACGGAAAACATACTGATTTTTGCCTTCGATGAAAATTACAACGATCACTCTTTCTGTCGCATCGAAAGCACCTGGCAAACTGAGCAGAATTATATAAAACTCCACAGCAAAGCATCCACAAATGCATTCCCGATCACACTCATGGAAACATCCATCGTTTTGAATCGATCATCAAATTTTGTGGCTCTACTTGACCTCAACATGAACACGTTGTCGAAACGAGGCGTTGCATTTCATGTGAGTGCAAAGAAACGTGGCGATCGTGTTGCTTTCGAACTGGCCACACCAATACCAAATTTGGCCAATGTTACATCGTCGGTAATTTTGCGACGCATCCCAAGGCAAAATGTTTATTTGGTATCGGGCAGATTGACACGGAACCGTGAAATTTACAATGTAAATGGCACTGCTGAATTCCAATCCAACGTTCCAATCAGCTTGGACTTGCGTTTGCGGCCCGTTGCACGGAATACAGTCACATTTGTGTCATACTCATTGAACCAAAACATCAACGATCACCAAAAAACGGTCAACATTCGCATATCTGAGTTTGATAAATTCTTCGAAGTGAACAGCGTCATCTCAATCTTCAGCAAGGTCAATTGGAATATTTTAACGACAATCGATACATCACCCGGTTTTCTCTCAAAATCACAGAATATGAACCATTGTACATTCAAACAATCCGTGAAACCCGATAACGACGACAAATTCACTGGTGAATTTTCTATAGTAACACCGTGGCGTTCATTTGGAATCGATAATCTCAGTATCAACGGAACCGCTTTGATGAAGCCCCATTCAGGATTTGTGAATCTGTTCTATGATTTTAGCTTGGGCCATGGCCAAATTCATTCGTCGTGGACATTCGTGCTGCTGGAGAATATGCAAGCACTATTCGATTTTCGATCGGAAAATGAACTTGGAACGCGAACACTTAAAGTCGGAATGAAGTATGGAAATCCAGGCAAAACCAATCAACGTTTGAACTTTGGCGGTAATCTGGATGTCGATTCAAAGGTTAACCTCGAAACAAACTGCTCGATTATGCTAATTAGCAAGACTGATCGGAGTGGAAGCTTTTCTGTTCGATTACCAGCCCCAATGGATGATGTGCACCGATTTACCGGACGATTCGGAGGTGAAATTTTATCCACACCCATTCAGGATGTTATCATTGAAACGAGATACGAGTCAGATAAGGAAAGAAAACGTTTTGTAAGCAGGGCCCAGTACAGAGATTTAACCGATTTACAAACATTGTTGCATGCTCAGTGGGGAACAGACACAGTAAATAAGACATTCGAAACGAATTTACAAATGCTTCGCAAGGGAATTCGACGTGAAGTATCGGCCAGAGTGAAAACGCCATATTTCAAAGAGGAAACAATTCGCGCCAGTGGATTCTATGAAAATGACCAGACTCAACAGGTTTTAGAGTGAGTTTTTTCTCAATTTTTTTTTTTGCTTTTATTGATTTTAGTTCGTATTTAAATGGAGTTTTTTTGAACAATTTCTGCAAAAAAAAAATTCAGTTATAAAATGATCATCTCTTTTGTTTGCAGTGCGAATGTGAGATTCCCATCGAGTCGTGAAATTGCCAGCACACACATTGAATTCAATAGCATGTCTAACGTCAGAGGATTTGTGAAATGTGTAACACCATTCCCGAATGTTACTTGGTTGCGAACGGATTTGAACTACACAACTCAAGCGTAAGTTCATTTCCCTCTTTTCTGGAATATTTTTCAAGAATGATAGAAATGTGGATTTCATCACAAATAATCAATTTCCATTTCACAGTGGATTCTCGCGCAAATACATCAAATCTGCATGGCCGTCCGATTTTGCCTACTTTGATATGCAAAGTACATTCGATTCGCATAGTTTGGATCGAAATCATCAAGGTAAAATCGATATGGAAGTGCCATTGGAATCTCGTCACACTGCTGCCATCGTGTACGATCTTAAAGAGCGTCAAACATTGACCACGGGGCATTGTAATGTAATTTACAACTCAGATAAGGTTCTCGATGGAACATACAAATGCAAAGCCGAGTCACGTGCTGGTTTCTCAAAAGAAATAACCGAAATTGCATTGGACAATGACTACTATCCAGCTGGAATAACGTATGTGCATCAAATGGAGTATAATGTAGCCGAATCTCCATACTTTGACATGAAACGTGCCGAATTATACGAGCTAAAAAACAGTACACGTTTTAATATCACCGGTGAATTGCATGTGCGAACAACGGAAACGGGGCAAGCGTATAAAATTGTTGCAATCCATCCGAATCGAACGGTTTCGATTACATCAGACTACGATGCACACGACACGACCGTAAACCAAAAGTTGAAATTGGCATTGTCGTCGGATTTGTGGATTGCATATGATTTCAAGTTGACAAATCTAACGACATCATCGATGGATTCGCAAGAGTTTAGTGTGGAATTGCAATATCCGAAACGAAATCTATCGACCAGTGGATGGTACTCAATAACTGATGAAGTGTTTGATTCGGATTTGGCATTTAAATGGACGAAAGTAAAGAAAGTTCAGGTAGACACGTATGATGATTATGGCTATGATCAATCGTCCGAAGAAACAGACGACAATGAGGCAATGTATGAGAACGAAGAGAAGGTCATAAAAGCGGCATTGACTTGGCGCAACGAACCCTTGGCATCGAACGATAAAAGCAACCAGTCAGTTTTGCTTGTTATCAAGCATCCATCGTTTAAAAAAGACGTCACATTCAATGCAAATTATTATCGAAATAATATCAATTTGATTCACGGTAAATTGATTGTCGACTATCACGAAGATCCAGAACATTTACTAACACTTGAGGGTGGCATTATGGATTCCACGCAAGTGATGAAACATCGAAATTATTCAATTCATGTGCTTGGTTTGCATGAACTATCGAAATTCGATCTGTATGCATTGGGCTCAGTTGCAGCCAATTTCGGTGTTTATTCAACGAAGAACTTTGGCCGATATAAACGTGGCTATTTACCATTGCAAGAAGGTCTGTTGAATGCCGGCGTTGATTTTCCGCACAATGACTTCCATTATCACAAAGAAACACCACACAAAACATTCTATGTTTGGACCAGAGCTGATGGCGCTTATCCCGTTTATCGTGTAAATGGAACATATGAGGATAGCCCAGATGTGAACACAACCGCTGAATTCTTTATCAACATTGATGATCGACTTGTAAAGTTGGACGCAAACTTCACACCTGATGCATCACAGAATTTACGTATGCTCGGAATAATACCAGATGCAAGAAGCGCCTCTTTCGATTTATGGCGTGATTATGAAGACATTCGAATCGTTGACATTGCCTATTATTTACGTATGAATCATTCACGATTGATAACGAGTCAGCTGATTTGGCGACCGAAATTAAGAGCAGAACTCAAGGTTGGTTTTACGTTTTTGGTTGCAAAAATGAATTGATTTTTGGAAAAAAAAAAATTATTTGGCTCTAATTGTGATTCATTTTGTTCTTTTTTTTCAGGATGGTTTCAGAAAACTCTCAACACAGATGTACGATTCATTCTCCGAAAATGTCGATTTTTGGGTCAAATCCCTATATTCGGAAGCAAATGAAACAGTCAATGATATTTGGTCGAATGCACGTCCATTTGCCGATGAATTTTTGGAGGATATAAGGTAAAAACAATTAAAATCTCACAAAAGCTTTTCTATTCTGTTTGCGACGGATAAAAGCCAAATTTGAAGGATTTTTGAGGTGGGTTTTATGGACTTTGAACACAAGAGTGTGTATGTGTGTATGGTATCTTTTGTTCGAAGAAAATCATCAAATTTTGCAATTTTTACTCGATAAGCTAGCTCTTTCTAACATCAATTTTCGTTGCTTCTTTTTCAGTGGCTTAAGCGTAATCGGCGAGGATATCGAAGAGTTCCGAAAGTTGTTGAATCAATCGTATGAAGCGAATGACTTTTACATCAAAACCATGGTTAATTTCACACTCACTGTTCTCGATGAGTTGGCCATTCGTAATCACATTGGATCCGTACCGAAGATTTTGAAAGAAATCTGGCAAGTTCTTGGTGACTCAGGCGTCGCTTTGCGAAAGAGTATCTTATGGCTGATCGAAACGATCAAAACAACATACAAAAATACCATCGATACATTGAATCGAATTTTCCATGGCGAGGCAATGAGCTATGTGTCTTCCGTGGTTGAAAAGGCGATATACAAATACGATCGTTTCATAAAAGATTTGCATTTATCGTTCATCAAGTATGTGGAAAATATTTGGAATAGTTTCAGTACTACGTTGATGAATTACTGGCGCGGCATGTTGGAGCGTATTCAACCGATGGTGATGCGTTTTGTTCATTATGCTGAAGCTCTCGTGTGGAACATTAGTTCGGAGATTTTCGAATTTTTACACAAAAACACAAATGATTTGGTAAAATCGCCATATTTCGATACAGTTTCGGAGTTTATGCGTGATTTGGACACAGTTTATCGCGACATTCAGGACAACGATGCAATCACTAATATCAGAAAGTATTCAGCACTTGCATCGGCCTTTTTGCGCGAAAAATACTTCAAAGTCGTTCCATTCGGAAAAGAATTGCAAAAATTGTTGAACGAACTGGTGGACGAGATAAAACAATTGCGTAAACTGGAGTTGGTTCAATTTGTCATCAATCGAATTGACGAATGGGAGGCGAAATTCACGTGGTTTGCCGAAGAATTCCAATTGGACAAGCGAATGCATCAATTGTGGCAGATAATCGTAAACAAAATCACTGCTTACGAACAGACTGCTCTGGAGATGGACGACAAGTATCGCGAGGCCAAGACAAATTTCGTATTCGATCCGGAAACTGGTCTTATGAAACTTGAGCAAAAATTGCCAATGTCATGGCACGCCTTCAACGAGACACCGATTTTCGAGGAAATTTCCGAACTGCAAATGTTGACCAAAACATTCCGCATCTTCAACGGAGTGAATGTTTCGCTGTTTTCAATCGATTTACTCGAATACTACACGAATCCGTATGTATGGCTACCACCCTTCAAAGCACGTTCGCTCATGATTGGATCAAGACATTACATCACGTTTGACAAACGATTCATTTCACTCAACCACCAATATGGATACATTGAAAATGGCCAAAAGCCAGATAAATGCTCGTATGTGCTGGCCAACGACTTTGTTGATTTCAATTTTACGTTGACGCAAGAGCCATCGATAGCTGTTTACAATGACAAACTTTTATCGACACGCAAACTGGCAATTGTAAGCGACGGGAATATCATTGAAATCGACTTGATCGGAGCAACGGTGCAGATAAATAGAAACTCAACCACGGCACTGCCTATTCAAGTTGGAGACACAATCATTTATCGTGACTGGGATATTTTGGTGATTCGATCAAGAAACGGATTCGAACTGAATTGTAATCTTCAATTTGATTTTTGTTGGTTTGAAACCAGCGGATGGTACTACGGTAAAACGGCGGGCATCATGGGTACAGTGAATAATGAAATCTACGACGATTTCTTGACGTCTAAGCATGTAATCACGAAGGATGCCAACGAATTTAGACAGAGCTGGGCACTAAATCATGGTGGTCAAGTGGATAGGTGCAAGCATGAATTGAACGATAATAAACACATAATTTCGAATGAACTGTTGAACATTTGCGACACTTATTTCCTGAGCAAAGTATCACCATTCGCCAATTGCTATCCAACGGTCGATTCACGACCTTTCTATGACATGTGCTTGGATATGGGATCAAATTCAATAACCAATTTCACACACAATGAACATCCAGCTCAGAAGGGTGCTTGTGCCGTTGCTTTGGCATACATGGAAAGTTGCGCAGATGAAACGCTTCCGTTGAGAATCCCCGAAATTTGTTTGCAGTAAGTCAGATGATTACTATTACTATTTTTATGAAATGTTGTATTTCAAATGGAATGAATTTTCATCGTTTTCCTCTAATTTTCAGCTGTAATTTGATCAATGGATCATACGTAGCCGAAGGAAACATTTTTGAACTGTCAGGTGCTGATGTACCGAAAACCACCGACGTCGTATTCATCGTTGAAGCGAAGATATGCAACCAAAATCTACCAGTCAACAAAAATATACCAACCATCATTGCAGCTTTGGAGAAGGCCTTCGGTGAAGTTGGTCTATCAAATGCTAGGTATCGTGACAGTATCAGAATTCTAATTTGTCAAAATCTACTTATTAAATAAATTGAATCATGATAAATATGAATATTTATTCTTTTGAAAAAAAAAATGTAATAACCCATTGAATTGAAAATTCCAGATATGCGGTAGTAGCATTTGGAGGAAGTGCACCATTTGAAAATGCCCATAGTATCGTGTACAACAATGACATTTTTGCCGATAGTCACCAAATTCGACATCACTTCGATCATATCAAAACGGGCAACAGTAACAGTAGCGATATATCTCGTGCCATTAAAGTGGCCTCAGAGCTAGTGTTTCGACCAGGCGCTTCCAAGACATTCATTCTGATGCCATGTTCCAATTGCAATGTCTCTGGCATGCACGTGAGTTTTTCTTTCATTCGTTTTCCATTGTTCTTCAAATTTGATTTGATTTATTTCGGAGAATCATTTTCAATATACAAATTAATTTTTTTTTCAATATTCTTTGTCACCATTTCCACCAGTTCGACTACTCATCAGTTTTGCAATTCCTGTGGGAGCACAACATCAACCTGCACATATTCATGAACGGTAATTTTGAAACGAAGAAGCCGCGTAATGAGAACAAAATCTTTGGATTTGACAATGGCCATGCGTACACCAATAACTACCTCAAAGATTCAACGGGCAGCAAGGAATTACGCGCCGAAATCATTTTGCCAAAGAACATGCTTGGATTTTGTATGGTTTGGGCGCTGGAAACGAACGGCACTATCTTTACAGCCAATAAAATGAAGCTAAATTCACGAACGCCAATCAAGAAATTCTCGGCCGTGTTTGCAAAACGTGTTGCCAAATCCGCTATTCCATCGTCATGTCAAACGTGTGAATGTACGGGTGAAAATAATGGCATCGCTTATGTTACATGCACGAGCTGTGATTTCCCAAATGCCTTCGAAGAGGAAGACATTAACACCATATTTGATGAAGACGATTTATTGGAAGACGATGACGAAAATAGTGATGAATAAGATTTTTAACGTTTAAGCTCGGAAAATCTATAAGAATTTATGATATCAATTTAATAAAAATAATTAAAATTTAAACAAAAAATAAAAATATTTGAAAAAAATAATCAAAAATTCGAGATTTTATTTCAAAATTGTTTATTTTTACTTGATTTCATTAAAAGAAGAAGTTTTTAGTATACATCCATTTGTCATTATTGCGTTCGAACAGTTATTTTTTGTTTGTTTATATCGTCCAAAGAACGTTCGGCCAAAATCAAACGAAAATATTGAAAAGAATTTCCTTGTTTTCGTTTAAAAAAAAAAAAGGAAATTGAAATACAGTCGTATAAAAAGCTAACTGAATTCCGTTTCATATTCGAAAAAAGAATTGTTTAGATCCACTGTAAAGTATCGTCATTTGTTTTTGTCATAAAAATCAATTGGATATGTAAGTATAAAAAAGAATTCCTATCAATTTTCACTATAAGCCTTAGAGTTGCTGTAATTTATACAATGTTTTTTCTTTTTTTTCCCATTGAGACGTGATAAATAAAGGAAAATGTGGGGAAAGGAAAAAAAAAAGTAAAGAAAAAACAACATTTTCATTTCATCGCTAAATAGAGAGAAGAACCCAATCTTTTTCAATATTGAATCATCAATTGGTTTGTCTTTTCATCTTTGAGTTTTGGTATACATTTCGAAAGTTGAAATCGGCACAAACAAAAGAACACCGACCACGATCGGCTAATACATAATAATTAATTAATTAATTTTCATCATTTGAATTGGTTAATAGACATTTATTTGATCTGAATTCTTAAATTCTATGTTATGATTAAATGTTTATCTGTTTAGCAATTTAAATTAGACCATTTTCATTCTCACAGAGAAATTCCATTTTCTTTTTTCATTTTATAAAAAAATCAAATTATACCGAAATAGTAGCTAATTAGTGTTTTCTTCTCTTCACTTGACGATTTTTTTTTTTATGTGGAAAACAAAAAACCATTTCATTAATATTTCCATTCGATAGGAACTTTTGTTTGCAAGAATTTTCTTTTTCGTTCTTCTGTTTAACTAGTAAAGAAAATCAAGTATGTGGCGGAAAACGGAGCAAAAATCAAATTTTCGCTTTTTTTTTTGTTATGGCATTTTAGCAATATAATATTCGCAGATATCAGCTAATGTCTATCATTTACATCATTTTTTCTTTCTTCGGTTGAATATTTCTTGTTGTTATTTTAACAAAAGAGAGGAAGAAATGTATCTAGACAAATAAAAATGCCCATGCAATGTAGGTCCTGTATCATTTTATCTTTTTCAGGAAAAAAACATCAATGGCGTGTCATCTCAAGTCAAGATGGAAAATAATTTGTATCTATGGTTAATTCGTCGTCTTCCTTAATATTTCAAGTCTTTTCGATGTTTTTTTTTTTTCAACATTCAAAGCAACACCTCACTCTTTAAAATACAAGTCTGATGATGAAGCACCATTTTTTCTAATCGCTTGCAAATTCATTCGAATCGAACGAATTGTCGCTTTGCGTAAATTCGTTTAATAGTATTTTATCTTACTCCAATTCTACAATTTCCACGGGCACGGCAACTGCAAACGTTGAGAAAGAGAAAGAAAAATGAAAACGGAATAAGTACTTTGACTGAAACAACTCGAAAAAAGACGATTTTTGTACTTACTCTGTGAGTTAGCCTTTTGTGAATTGACCTGTTGAGACGTTGGCTTAGTGATCCGTATGCCGGCCAAAGAATTTGTTGGTTTTGGCGAAACCCTCACTGTCGAATTCTATAATGATTCGATGAAAATTTTGAAAGAATGAGAATCTTTCTTCTTTCGGCTAAATAAACCCTTTTTTATGCAGAAAGGAAGACATATGGTATGTTAAACTCTTTCAACTTACCGTTGCAATCAAATTGCTGTTCAGCGGTTTTGGTTTCTTTGCCAGTATAACGGGAGTGGAATCGGTAGCCGGTCTCTTTCGTGCATCAATTGTGGTTAAGGTGGCATGGTTGCCAATGATTCGCGGTCGCATCAGAGACTGATTTTTATCTGTTGATTGAACTGGTTTCACCGGAGTGAGTACTCGATTGATTTGCATGCTCGAATTATTCGCCGCTTTGTTTCCCAATTGAGTAGCTTGTAATTGTGCTTTGGTTTGTGCAATTATCGGCTTGAAACCGGGTGCAGGTGATGTTCGTTGTACAACTCTTTTTGGTGATACGCTTTGATTGCTGTTCAATATGCGTGTGGTGCTTGGAACTGGTGACGCGGCATTTGGTGTTTTCGGCACCGAAACAACGGTTTTTACTGTATTCACATTGCGAGAACTTAGCACGTTTGGCTTTGCTAGCGGTGTCGGCGATTTGGTGATCGTTTGATTGACAGAAGCCATTTTCGATATGGCGATGGGTATCGGAGACGACGAATTTGGTTTCGAAAGTGGACTGAGCGTACGACCCTGCGTTGAGCCACTCGTTTTGGTTTGACTCACTTGCGGTGTGATGGTTACGCCACCGGTGAATTTGGTGGCTGAATTTGGAATTGGACTCAATGTAATACTGTTATTAACACCAGCAACGGGAACAACTTTTGATGCTGGCGATGTGATGCTTCGCGCTGTCACTGTTAGAGCTCTGTTTTTGTTAATCGCTGCCACTGCGTCATTCGTTGGATCACCGGTTTTTGTTACATTTAGCCCAGGCTTTCGAATGATCGCTGGCATTGGCTGTGATGTGTTCGACACTGAATTCTGTGACGGTTTTTCGTTTGCTGCAACGAGGGGAAAAACACAGCATTTTGTATGAAATTTTGAATTACCGAACAATATCCTCTTTGGAAAACCAAACGTAAGTTTTCCGTTCATGCTAGATGATGATCAAAAACAAAAATTCATCAAAATTACTCACCACTATTGGCTGGCATCAAAACAGCTGCTGAACTCGGTGTGCCCTTGCTTGTTGAAGCGTCTTGAGTTGGTTTTTGTGGCGGATACACAATTCCCATATTCGATGAAATTGGAGTCACAGTCGTTGCGCTTTTGTTATTTATTTTCTGTTTTGTGCTGTCAACACTTGAACTTACACCATTACTTACGGATGTTGTCGGTTTACTTTGCACTTTTTTGCTTCCGGTTGTGTCCGGTGAATCGCGTGATGCATTGCTGTTGATTGTTTTCACGGTTATCAGTGGTTCAATAACGGCTGCATTCTTTGTTGGATTCGATGCGGATTTCTCGATGGAAGATGATATATCTGGGCTCTTGCTGCTTGATTTACTCGCGTCGCTTTGATTGGAGCTACCCGGTGAAATTGCCGATTTGGTGATGACCGGCGTCGGAATGGGCAAATTGAACATATCTTTTGAATTCGCCATGATTGGATTGCGAGGAATTGTCAGTTCTTTTGTGAGCAATGGGTTACGTTTTGCATTGGGCCCTTGTTGCGCACTCGAACTGCTTGGCAACGCTGTCGTGCTACTAATCGGATTCGTGGATGCAGCCATATTTGACAAGTGTTGCTTCTGTAGATATGCTTGTAACGAATTGAAATCAGCAGCTGGCAAACCCAGTGGCGGTGTTTTCGATGACGATGCATTCGCTGCTACTGCGGCTGCTGCTGCTGCCGCTGCTGCTGTTGACGGTGGGTTGTTGGTGCCTAATGCGTTATATAGACTATTTAAGTATGACGAATAGCTATTCTTTGACGATGAAGACGATTGCGCGAGAGATGACAAAAGATTATTCGCGTAGTTGGTGGACGATGATGCAGTCGGTTGCATCCAATTTCGCGACGACGACGACGACGACGACGGCGACGAAGTCGAAAAGCTATTCATGTTTATGATCGGTGACGGACTCGACACGGACACTGGATGATTTGGCGATAACAAACTCGACGTACTCGGATTATAATTACTCATCGATGTGCCGGCAACATTCATAAGATTATTGTAAAATTGTGAATAATTGTCGAAACGCATCAAATCACTGGTATACGGATTATATGAGCCATACATATTGTACGGATAATTTAGACTCGACAAATTGTTGTAATTATTAAACAATGAATTCGCGTACGTTCCAAGTCCAGAATAATTTGGTAACATTCCGCCGAAATTATTATTATATGGACCCATATTCGTTTCATTCTTACGTTTAACATCCGCTTCGTACGCAGCCCATGCATCATTTTTCTCTTGTTCGCTCAACTCCTCTTCGCCCTTGTTCTCCAACAGCGAATCATGTTCGTGGTATTTGTACACCATTTCGGGGAATTTCATAAGCAAATGCGCGAGTAAATCATCTTTCGGTACATTTGGTGTGGGTCGCTCAAGCATATTTGGCTTTGTCAGACTAAAATGGGAAAGAAAATTCGTGAGTTGTTATCAAATTTTGTGAGAGATTGAACAAAAAATTGAAATGAAGTCAAATAAGACAATCTCGATTCAATGGATCACAAAAAAAATCACCTGTAAAGTTCCGTCAAATCGCTCAGATTATAGTGACGATCGATTTGTTGTTCATCGACGACCCGGCAGCTCATCGCTTGTTTGGTTACTGATCGTGAATAGACTTTCTCTTCCATGGTGCCCATCGAAAGAAGTCGATAGATGTAACAAATTTTCTTCTGTCCCAACCGGAATACACGGAAAATGTTTTGTTCTGTTGTAAAAAAAACGAATTAACACTCAATTAAATGACATTTAGCATGAATTTTCTTCAAACAAACACAAAATTCTGATAAGAAAGCATTGATCATGCACAAATTGATCGATCAAAATCTTACGATCATTTGATGGATTCCATGAGGTGTCAAGCAACACTACTCTATTAGCACCAATAAGATTGATTCCTTGACCGCCTGCTTTGGCCGATATCAAAAATGCCCTAGTTCGTCCATTTTTCGGATCATTGAAATTCGTGATCATGCTGTGACGGTGATTCTTTGCCGTTTTACCATCCAATCGATAGTAATCTTTGCCAAGTTCCCATGGACCACGGTACTTTTCGAGCCCTGGTTTGTTGCCACTTTTCTCTTGTTCATTAATTAAACGCATGAAAAATTCAACAACATCCAATACAGCCACGAATGCCGAGAAAATCAAACATTTCTCCTTGTTGCGTCGACATTGGTCGAGTATTTCGAACAGTACCTTCAGCTTATTACTCGGTAAAATGGTTTCAAGATCTTCTTTGCTGAGATGTGATCGCCACCAATCGCTAGTCACAGACATTTGACCCGTTTGACTGTCAAACACATCATCCGGCTGATCATCTTCACTGTCATTGCCAGCGGTTACGGTTGGCTTCACTTTGGTCTTGTTTTGAATTGCATTTAAGTATGCATTTTCTAATACTTTTGGATGAGTCCAAATCTGCGAAAAGGGATGAAATCACATTGGGTGATAAGATAATTTATTGATAATGATGAGTTTTAATGACAATGTGATCGAATTCTCATTAAATGCATTACTTTTCGCAAAACCGTGTAGTCTGGAATCAAATTTTTGCCTCTTTGCTCTTGATTTGGTCGATTTTCCAAGAAAAATTCATACAAATCCGTCTGAATAAGGAGAGTTGTGGTTAATCAATTTTGTCAATTAAATCAAAATTGTTTAAATACCTGTATTTTCGTCATCGGAATGAACAGAACGAACTCGTATTTCTCCGGCAGGAATGATTTCAACAAAGCTGCTTCTTTTCTCTACGAAAGAGAAAAAACGAAAAGAATAAATAATGAAATTCTTTATAAAGAAAAATCTTCAGAAAAAATATCAATAAAAATGATCCAACAGCTCACTTGAACAAATTTCGATAGTTTTTTGTGCAGCACATAAGAGCGTTGCTTCATGTATTTGATTTCGCTCTTCGATGAGTCTTTGTGCTGACCGTTTTTAATGGGGTTCACGTACAAATTGGCAAATTCTTTATCGGTTCCCAAAAACGATGGTTTGATAAAGTTCACCATCGAATAGTCTATGAAAATGCAAATAAAACATCATATGGTGCTTCCTTATTTGTGTGAACTTGTGATTGAAACTTACATTCTTTGAGATTGTTCTGAATGGGTGTGCCAGTGAGGACGATGCGTCTTCTTGTCTTTATCAGATTGACGGCTGTGCTTGTTGTGGACTTCTGGTTTTTGATCATATGACCCTCGTCACAAACGACTAGATCGGCTCCAGGATCCAGCAAGTACTGATGAACTCTCTTGCGCATTTCTTCTAACTCAGTGCTGGTGTACAACTGCTGGCTCTTCTTCGATTTATGGTAAAACACTAGCACTCGGAACGCTTCATAGCCCAACAGTAAGCAGCCAGCCTGTTTGTTTCCAGCCTTTCCGCATTGACTCCATTCTTTCAGCGTCTTAAGCTTTCCGTTGATGTCACTACATAACAGAAAAAGGTGATAATCTCATTCGAAAAATGTTCAATTTGAATCTAAAAAAAATTCGTTCATATCAACTTACGATGTTTCAGGGAAATGGAACAGCTTTAGCCTCCGAGTGTGTTTGATGTTACCAAGCCACCGTTCGATTTCCTCTTTCCAGTTCATGACGGTGCTCTTTGGGCAAATGACGAGTACTTTGTCGGTTTTCAATTGCGGATAGCATATGACGGTGTGCAGCAATGTAATGAGCTGTAGTGTCTTTCCAAGACCCATGCAATGGGCCAATATACATCCAGAACCCGGGTATTTTTCCAAATTGTCGACACTTCCATAGCAACAATCGTACATAAACTTGATACCTTCAACTTGATGTGCTTTCAAGTGCTTCGTAATTTCGGCATGAACAACGATTTTTTCATTTTTTTTCGTGTCGAAATCCAATACCACTGCATTTGGATCAATATCTTCTTGTGATTCGGCTTGTGTTTGTCGTTGAGATTCCATGTACTGTGATAGCCGTTCGTTTTTCTTATCCAATCTTTTTATGCGATCCGATTCTTCACGTTGAGCCAATTTTGTGTCGTCGGCCAATTGATCATGGCTCAGCAACTTTCGTTTGACTCGTTTCTCCTTTTCCTCGCCATCATCATCGTCGTTGTTGTTGCCATTTTTCTTCTCGACCGATGGAGGTTCCATTTCAAAATCATCCGAACTAACGCTGATGCATTCCGGCGAGTTTCGGGATGTGCTCTGCTTATTTTGGCTTGCTTGCAATCGCCTCGACAGTTGATTGTGTGTGTAGTCTTTTTTATTTGATTTGAACATGGTGGTGTCAAGGATGTCAGAATCCTTTTCACTTGAATCAGCATCACTTTTTCGTTTATCACTTGTTCGTTTTTTCTTCGACTCACTGCCGCTACCATCGTCCTCATCGCTTGGGATCACAATGTGTTTCTCCTTTTCAATGTTGCTAAACACATTTTTTCCGACCATTGACTTGGACTTTCTCGGTGCTTCCGAAACACTTCCCGACTCACTCTCGTCAAATTCGAATTCACTGGCATCCAATTCTTCATCGAATTGATCATTTTTTTCGGACGCATTTTTATTCGGTGATGATTCTTTGGTCTTTGCTTGCTTCTCTGAATCGGCCGACTTCTTTTTCTCCTTTGGCTTTTCCTCTTTCTTTGCTTCGTTCGGCGAATTTTCACCACTTTCTTTTGATTCATCGGCCAAGAATTTCGACACCAGTGACTGATTCGAGTTGGATGATCGATCAAAATCTGATTCAGAGTCAAAATCGCCTGCGAAGTGGGAATGAACAAAATTGATTAAAATTTTTATTCCAATCAGAATGTGTCTATCATCATTGATGGATTCATCATGTAAAATCTAAATCGCAAACATACCGTTAACTCTTCGATCCGAATCGGAGCCCAGTTCTGAATCACTTGTGAGCAAAAGTTGCTCTTTATATTGCTCGTTTTGTTCTTTCAAAAAATGCTCCTCCGTATATTCCTCGCCATCCGATTTCTCATCTTCACTGTCTCCACCCATTCTTTCGGTGTCTAGCGAATCGGCTAGAATTTTTTCCAATCCATCTTCTTTTGGTGCTTTTTTCTTCGGTTCCGGTTTTTTCGGCTCAACGATTCCATTCACCTTAGCAGCGGCATTTGTCGATGCGATTCGCTTGCTTGCAATCGATGAAAAATCGCAAAGTCTGAAAAAGTCAATGAAATTTTATGAATATTTGGAGATTGAAATCGATTGAATGCCTTATTTTTACATACTTTCGAATATCCTCATCTTCGTCTTCATCATCGTCAAGCAAATCGTCATTATTATCACTCGCCACACTCGATGAACGATCCGCATCGACTTCCATATTTGCTATTGCACTGTTTTCGGTTGGCTGCTCCGTGCCAACTTGGGATTGTTTATTTTGATCGATGATCTCTGTGCTTTCATCGCTGTCGGCATCCTTGTCGTCTGGGCCGTTGTTGCTTTCACTCGCATCTTTGCCGCTTCCTAATGTGTCGTTCAACTCAGTCTTGATACCGATTTCAAATCCATCAGCACCATCATCATCATCGTTGTCAAAACCGAGGAAATCGTTTTCCTTCCGAATCGATTCGTTGGCACTGTTGCTTGCATTTCCATTCATGAGATCGTCAATGTTTTGTGAAATGACAAATGGTTCATCTTTCACATTCATTGTGCCTTTGTCCGCCATATCCTCAGAGTGTGAACTCAGATCTGTCGTTGAATCCAAATGTCCCGCTTGGCTTTTCGGTAATTTTCGACGGCGTTTCAATTTGCGCAATTTTCTTCGTGACTTACTTTGATCACTGTCCACATCACTTGAATCACTCAACGATCGGCTCTTTGACTTTCGGTCTCGTGCCTTCTGAGCAGATGATTCGGATGCTTTGCTGGGATTGAGTTTTATTGCCATTTTTGTGAGCTCTTGAGCCATATCTTCAACGAGAAGTGCCAGATTTTCACGCAATTTCTCAATTGTTTGTGCGCGTTCAGCTTCGGATTGACTTTCAATGTCCGTTAATTTCGTTCGAATTGATGTGGCATCGATCGAAACTCGATTGGCAATGTCATCAACGGCTTTTAATTCGGATCGCAATTCAAGCACCCTATTACCTGGTGGGAAAAAATTGAAAGATTTTCTTTTAGACATTGTTCAATGTTCAACATCAACTTAAAAAAAAACTCATTGAATTGAAAAACAAAATGTCGACCATATTTCTCATTACCTTCACTCTCTTTGGCATCATCGGGGCTGCTTTGCGTGGAAAATTTGATGCCGCCATAATATTCCAATGGTTCGGAATGGCCTGGTGAAAATTCTGGACTGGTGTCGGTCGATTTATTTTCGGTGGCTTTTTTGGTCTGTGCATCATCGTTGAGTTGTGCTCTCAATTGTTTCGCCTTTTCTTCGATTTGTTCGAGTAAAGATAAACTTTGTGCACGTTCTTTGCTGCTGGTGAGTTGTTTCAAAATGCTATCCAAATCAGCGACATTGATTGAGGTTAGCTTTTCGTTGCTTGAATGCGTCGCCATCGTCGTTGTTGTTGTTGTTGTTGTTGTTGTTGTTGTTGTTGCGCCATTCGTTTCATTTTGAATATTAGTGCTTCCCTTTTCTACGTCACCATTCTGTTCTTTGGAGTGCTCTTTTTCACCGTTGGCAGCGTTGCTACTGTTCATTTCGCGTTGATTGTCCAATTCGGTATTCTCTTCGTTGCTTGCAATTATGCCGAGAAGGTGCTCTTGTGACAAATAATCATGATCTGACAGCACCGATGCAACGCACATCGACAAGTTTTGTGATTGACTTTGCGCCCAAGCCAATATGCGTTCGTGTTTGTCGCATTCAAATTCACCGTTGGCCCGATCATCGCTTGAGTGTGTTGTGTTCAAGCCGTTTGTACTAACACTTATGACTTTCGAACCGTTTGCACTAACACTCAAGCCATTCTGTTCGGTATTCGGTTCAATCATTTCGACATCCGATTCATCGCCCATGATGTTGATACTTTTGAGTTCAGCCATTAGATCGGCATTGTTTTTGTGTACTTGCACACTGTATTTCTTCGTGAGGGAAGTCGACTTAAACTCATTCATATCGAAAGAATCGGTACTGTTACTGTTGTTGTCACATTCATTTTTTCCTTTGATTTGTAAAGACTGTACGTTCCCTTTTGCAGCCGGACCGTTCACTTTTTTCCTGTTCATTTTTTTTATTGAGAACAATTCAGTTTGATTTTATTTCAAATGAACGGAGAATGAATCTCCGTTCAATTCGGTGCGAACAAATGTCCAACACAAATTGTTTGGATTTTTGTTCAATTTAAGCAGTAAATCTGAAAGAAAATTGAGGCAAATCCAATGTTAAAAATTGAGTGGCTATATCGATTGAACTCGACTAAAAGCTATAAACAACGAATGAAACTGCTGAAATTCACAATTTTTTCTTTTAACATTGACATGAGATATAAACAAATTCAAGTATTTCATAATGTGTCCAAACGATTCGCGCGCGCTCTTCCAAGCAAGACCCGAGAAATGTGTTAACGGTAAATAATCTGGTTAATTGTTTGTTTTGGTTTGTATTCGTCGTTTGGCTGTTGTTATCTCATTTGCGCACCACATACATACATACATAAATACATACACACACACACATATACATACATGCGCTAACACTTGCTCGTTGCTATTTGCAACGCATCGAACGACGCCGTCAAGCATTTCTTAGAAGCGAGATGTGGTGTTGAACAAACGAAGCAGTAGATCGACGCGTTGAATTGCGTAAGGTATACATTTGACATTTGAAACGACGATAAAAACCAACCAATTTCGGGGAATTTTGAATCATGTTTCTCACAAATATACACATCAAAGGTGCTACTAAATTTATCTCATGAAATATGCACAATTTCATCAAGCGTCGTATGGCACTTTGATCATATTAGAGAGCGAGAAAATATTGAGCAAACACAATTCAAGTGCCAAGTGAAAGCGAAAGATGCGCTCGAAGAACACACAAGAACATGAAGAAATATTTCCAAGTGCACACACGCTAATCGATGTGTTGGTGGCGTGACAATTCACAAACGTTGCATTTGTATTCCGCTTTGTCCTTCGCATCCATTTTGACCGTCTATTTTTCACTCACACTCACTCTCTGTCTCTCCCAGCAATATCGCACTGCACAAGAAAAGTGCAATAGCAGAAGCGGGCAAGCAGCAGCAGCATCTAAACACACGTACATACGGAATTGCCAGGAAATCTTTGACTGTGTGTTGTGCTGTAGCCAAAAAAAAAACGAACGAAATATATAACTCGAATCAACGCATCAGCGCACAAATCGTAAACTTGTAAAAGAAAAAGAGGAGGAAAAAAACTATAAAAAAGCGCTCTATCGAAGATGTGAGGCAAGCTATCGAAAAAGACGAAGATGGATGGGATTTTGTATTTTTTTTTTTCTCTATCGATGCGAAAATTTATTTTTTGCCGATGAATGGCTTTGCTTTGAATGCACTTGATTGAAACTTTTTTTTTCTGACAAACAAAGAACAACTTACATTGAATTTGATCAAGAGTTTGTGAATTTAAGCGGTAGCCGATCATTAAATTTCTTTCATAATTTTCTGCACACACAAACGATAGAATTCGAAATTTTTACGATTCGTGTTAGAAAAATGACACACTGCAATTAGAATCACCTCACAATAAATCACAGCACACGATTGTTAAATAAAAACACATCTTCTCTCCCGTTTGCCCTAACCTATTAATTTTCGTTCTCTCCCTCGTTCTGGTAATTTATATCGTTTTACTCACAAACTGAGCACTCACTTAACAAATTCACTTATTAATTATATCGATCTAGAAGTTACTGCTCAATCCTAGACACAAATTTGCTGCCACCATATTCTTAGCTATTCCGATTTTCAATTGTATGGGATTTTTATTTTTCACATTTCATTTTCTCTTGTCTCTTTACTTCATTTTCATTTTTTTTTTCACTCTATATCGGTCGTCTTGAGTCGTGTATGTCGTGATGTTTTTTTTTTCTTCTATCCAATTGGGTTTTTTCTTCGATTTTCTTACAAAAAAAAAAAAGAACTTCGGCTGCTGCTAATGTGTGCACTACTGACTCTGTTCCTCGCCTTAATGTCTTCGCACACAAATGTGTGAGGATTTTTGTAACCTTTAAACCAATCAGTTTTCGTCGTAAATGAATGAAGAAAAAAAACGATGTGTTTTGTTTGCTTGACTCAAACCGTGTGCCACACATATATGCATATAGACACGGCTTAAAGTGGTGTGCGTTTATCACAATGGCTGGCAAAATGTCAAGCTTCTCACGCATTCTGCTGCAGTGAAACGCATATTCAAAATGAAATTGTAAAAATTTCCAATAGATGGACGTAGTGGCTATGACCTGTATTTCAAAAGAACATTTAAATCAATCAATTGGTTCAACCTTTTTGGTTTTTGTGACCAGTTCATTCACAGCTATTTATTGAATTTATTTGTTTGTTTGCTACATTTGGGTTTTGTTCGGAATATGGACAAATCTAATTCGTTGTAAACAACCGGCTCTTCAGGACAGGGCAACAAACGATTTGATTGTGCTTCATTACTGTTACGTTCGAGTAGATGTGGTGCGAGCAATAAAAATAACTGCTCAGCCCAGGATGGTAAATGACAAGTGTGTGCAAAGCACAGCTCCCAATACGGTAGGCCCAAATGAGCGATGCACATGCGAAGATATTCGGTAAATGAGTCGGCCAAAAATTGCCACTTGTTCGATTGTGTCTCCAATAAGTAAATTTTCGGGCTGACTGATTCCAATGTTTCGTACACCAGACAAACCTATGCCATGAAAAAAGTTTAAATGAATTTTAAGCGCTCCATTTATGGAAAAACCAACGTAATTTGTCAGAATAATCCGAAATTGTTGTCTAATTCAGAAAACATCATCACTTCTCTCACCTTTGCCACATCCAGTATCGAGCTCAATTCAAATATTTTCGAGCGCAAATTGAGATTTGGCTGTTGACTCGTTTTGTCAACATTCCGATGGTCATTACTGCTGGGCGACTTTTTTGCATGCGGACTGCTGCTGCTGCTGTTCATGTGTATCAATTCGAGATAATCACGCAGCAACGTGATTTGCATCAAATGCGGAAAATTTATATAGCCCACACGGCGTACCACATTCGCTTTATGGGATAAAATGTTTAGAAACACAGTTCAGGTTTTTGTTGTCGTTTTTCTTTTCACTTTGAAAAATTGTACTTACGAGCATAGCTGTAGCACCAATGAAGCGTAAATCCATCAGTGGATAAATAGAAACGTTTCATGTCGTCGGGCAAGAAGACATTATGCCGTTGCTCGAATGTAGCCACTGCGGTACGTTCACAGGGCTGCTGTTTGTGCAATGTCACACTTGTAATTCTCGGGATATTATTCAAAAATTGAATCAAGTTCAGTGTCAAATTGTTATAAAACTCATCCTCCGGCGATGATGACTTTACGCTGGTCGGTCTTGATGCCATCATTTCACGTTGGCCTTGATATACTCACTATCGTACACACCATATAGACACATCACATATATATAAGTTTTCTAATGAATCAACAAAATGACGTTGCCATTGACTACAAATGCGATTTATGTTTTACCGAATTTCTAGGCAGATGGCAGACAAACAATCTCACCTTGGATATTGTTGACCGTTAATAAAAGTTTGTAATCAGCTTAGAACACATTGCGAACTCGTGGCCAATTGACGTCAACATGCCAATATGCAACATGCAATATAATTTTATTGTTCACGAAATTATCGCTCTAAATTGACCAAAAATTTCCTTTAAAAGAACAACGACCAACATTTGAAAATAGTATTCGTTCACTTTTACTTTCAACGTTCGGTCACTTGAGAAATTGTTCCTCTACTTTTGTCTTGCAAAATGTTCAAAGTAACTTTAATTGGAATTTCGCTTTTGTTGGTGCTGCAAAGTTCTGTGGCTGCACCGTGGCCTGAAAATGGAAACGAGAAGCAAAATCCAACCACAACTTTGCGACCAAGTGCAACAACCGTCAAACCGTTGCCAGTCACTTCGACGCAAAGAGTATTGACCACAACGAGAGTTGTTCCGACAACCGGAACTGGAAATTTCGGGCCAACAACAACAATCAGAGGGACCACGAATAGAGTAACAACGGCGAAACCAGCAATAACTACACCGAGTGGATCAAGGCCAACGACTCAAAGGCCAATTGCCACGACCAAATTGATTCCAACGACTGGCCGAAACACGGTGAATAGCGCAAAACCCATCGCAACTACAACGGCAAGAGGAACAACTGCAAGAAGAACAACTGCTAGAGGTACCACTGTTAGATTAACAACAATCAGAGCAACAACGCCCATGGCTGTACCGATAACAACGGCAAAACCTTCCACAAACCGTCCATCATCTTCTTCGCGTCCAAATCTAACAACCATCAAACCATTGCCAGCAACTTCAACACAAAAGGTAATGACCACAACGAGATCTGGAGCGACCACCAGGAAAATCGGAAATTCCGTGTCAACAACAACAATCAGAGGAACCACAAATAGAGTAACAACGGTTAAGGGAGCTCAGAATGCAGGTTCACACAGTACAACGGCGAAGCCAGCAATAAATACACCGATTGCATCGCGACCAACGACTCAACGGCCAATTGCCACGACCAAATTGATTCCAACGACTGGCCGAAACACGGTGAATAGCGCAAAACCCATCTCAACTACAACGGCAAGAGGAACAACAAACAGAGCAACAACGGCCAAAATTATAGTACCGATGACAACGGCGAAACCTTTTGCAAATAATCCACCACCTTCTTCGCGTCCAAGTTCAACAACCGTCAAACCATTGCCAACCACTTCGATGCAAAAAACAACGATCACAACAGCCAAGCCTACTGCATCAATGTTACCAATTTCGACCGCAAAGCCACATTTCTAAAATTTATCCACTTTGGACAAAATTCAAGCGTAAAATAACTTCAAACTGGAAACGAAGCCAAACATTTCGAATATAATCTTGCAATTGACCAATTTTCAGATGCTACAAATTACTAACTATAATTTCCGATGATAACGATAAATTTGGACTTTGGAATGGGAAAAATTAATTTTCAAAGAAAATTTCTGTGAATTTAATAAAATGTAAAACCAGCATGTAAAATGGCAAAGCAAATAAAATTTTATATCAAGTTAAAAGTGCAGAAAATTCGTTGTCATTTTTGTGGGTTCTGTTTGTGTCGAAGTCCAAAGTGAAAAACCGAAAAATTGAGACAAAGTGGGAGAGAGAGAGAGAGAGAAAGAGCGATGGAAGCGAAAAGAAAGACAAAGTTGAGTGTTAAAATTTGCCCTGATTTGTTTCCGCAGATTTTCCACATGCAGCCAATTTTTAAGTGTGGCAAGGGTGAAATCGGGTGTAATGTTATCACATTCTAACCGAAAATTGTCCTAAAGTCTCTTTTCTCTCTTTCGCTCTCGTTGTCTGTGAGCTGCTTTGCGGTATGCATTGGCTGTTGCACTCTCCATACACAGACAATGCCGTCGTTCAACGACACACCGAGATATATCAAGTGTAATAATTGTTTAATTTACAATGTGTTTCGTGCATTTTGGTTTCGATGCGACGAAGAACACGACATGATGCTCTAACATTGTCTACAATGCATATTAAATTCGAAAATAGTTTCACTTTGGTTCTTGGGGTTCAAGCACACACACACACACACACACACACGATTCTCAATGCAGAAAGTGAATTTTCGAAGAGAATTTTGCCATAAAATCGCCATTAATTGGTTCGACTGTAAATGCATCGGGGGGAAATTGATAGAATGTGTATATGTGGTGGATCTGAGGATTGAGATTGAGGCTCAATTTAATCTGCGTGCAGAAAGAGGTTTTCGAGAAACAAAAGCTGTTGTTATTCATTATCGTCGCCAAGCATTTGGCATGCACACACGAGTAAAATTCTGGAATTTCGTACCATCGACATGGACACACACACACAACATATATATGCAATGCATAAATGTGGAGATTTGCCACAATGAAAATAATTCCTATGCAGAAGCAGCAGCGGCAGTGGCAGTAGCGGGAGCCAAGAGAACGTAATATGTGCACAAACTCCGATATTTCAGTTGCCCATTAAAATTTCAAGCAGATTTATTTTAGAATTTGCCTGATATGTTTTATAATGGCTTTGAAAGCGGGCATATTTTCAATAAGTGCCACACTACACATGCTACTAATAAGTACATAGATTGTATTACGCTGTTTCCCAAAAATTGTCGAAACATATAATGCACACACAAAATTTTCAAGCACACAGCACCACCACCACCACCACCGCACACACATAGAGAGTCAGGCAGGCAGGCAGGCATGCCATATAAAAGGGATTTGCATTATTATCTGACGATGCATAAATAAAACCGTAGACATTCACACTCATGCAGACATAGATTGGAAGATTGGAGCGATGCGACGGTGTCGGCGGATTTGTTCGCAAAATGCCATCACACATTCAGTGGTCGTGTAGAATGGAGAATAGAACAAAAAAACAACAAGAACAAAAATAAAAACGGAGCCAGATCAGAATGAGCCATCAGCAGAACGGTAACACAAGAGAACGGTCAAAATGAAGGTGTGTACGATAAAAGATTGAGCGAATATTTCGTTGTCGAGCGTGTATTTCGTAGAAGGTGGTTAGTTGCTCAAGACGACAACGACGACGACTACAAAGACGATGTTGATGATGATGATGATGCTGGTGTTCGTTGCTTTGTGTTATCAATGTGTCCCCATCGTTCTGATTCTGATTCTTCATTCGTCCTTTTTTCACGTGTTTTCTCATTCTCTATCTTTGCTTTGCCGCCGTCCTTTGTGCTTTTATTGTGTGGCGGCTGTGAATATGATGAGCACTCTCCATAAAATCCATAATAGATGTTCGCCTGTATAGATTTCAAATTTAATACGATTAAATAGCTCTTTATTTAAAGGCAATATTGGCCTGAAGTATGTGTGCACTGTGCATACTGCCGTATGATTTATGCAGTGCAAGAAGACCAATCAAAAGAAATTGAATTTTCGGTTTATTGCTGGATCTAATTCAGGTATTGATGGCATGGTTTTTATGTGTATGAGTATTTGTATGTGTGTGTGTGTGTGTGTGTGTGTGTGTGTCTCTCTCTAATGCAAGTAGACGACTTATTGCGGTCGAAACTATGACGAATAAGCGTGTAAATGTGCCTCGTTCAACAACAAATTTCTCTCTCAATGCGTACCAATTTCGAATTAACATTTGATTTTCATGTTCCATATCGAATCGCACTCGATACTACTGCCTATTTTACCATTGCCATTACTCTGCTCTTTCATTTGATGCCTCTGTCTCTCCTGCGCCGCACTGCTCACTGTGTGTATCGGTCGGCTTGGTCGATGGATGCGGTGCCAAAATACATATGCGGTGTGTATTTCTCTCTCGTAGTATATAACATTTTCGGTATCTATTTGTATCCATCTATCTGTATCTATTCATCCGAATGGAACGCAGTTTATCACTTTATTTTATTTAATTTTTGAACATCGGTTAGCCCAACAAAATGTTTTCACTCCATCCGTTCTCTTCAATACACTGTTTCTGTCTCTTTTCCTTTTTCTCATTTTGCTGGTACTGATGCTTTTGCTGTTATTGGGATTATTGCTATTTGTATTTATTATTTCGCTTTTTGGTTGATTTCAATTCGATGGCTTTTGGCCGGAGCCGGAGCCAGTGACAGCGCTACTCCAGCTATAAAATTACAATTTTAATAATATTGCATGTTGTATATCGAAAAATGGTTCGTGAAAAGTTAAATGATTACATGCAAATTGCAAACCTGATAAAAATCCATACAATTCCAACCATTTTCAGTCGAATGCGTGCGTATGTGTGCTGGTATGTGCGAATATTTTTGTTTGAATGATTTTTTTTGTTCTCTCAGTGGATTGTTTTTTTTTTGTGTGTATATGCTGTTGTGCGTCATTTTGGCTCGCCACATCTATTTATTCAAATTAAATGCGGTTCGAGCATTTTCATATTGCCATACATGTATTTATGCATTATAACAAATAACGAATAGCTGAGCCCATTGAGCAGAGCATAACAATGTTTTAATGCTATCGAATTTCGAAAGTACTTTTTTTACCGACACGAAAAAAACGCACAAATAATATCAACCAAAAATCTGATCGGAATAAAAACATCGTCCCATTAGCAATGAGTCAACAGACCGACACAAAATTCATAACATGGAAAAAAAAATTCGGCGAGTAACCGAGCACATACACAAACAACAACTCAAAAAATGATAGAGATACCCAAGCAATTAAGTGGGAATAGTGGGAATTAAAAAAAAAAAAGTAAAATGAAACTCATGGAAAAAATTAATACTCAACAGATATCGGTCAACATGTTATCTAATTTTGATAATTGTTTATTAATTAGTTGTAATTAAATAGATACGCTCAACGAATTTTTTGTTGTTTTTATTGTTGGTCGGTCGGCTGGTTAGGTTTATGGTTGGTTGGTGGGTCGGTCGGTGTTGATTGTGATTCTTGTCTGTTTGCTTATGTGCGTGTTTTTTTGGCTTCGAATTGAAACTGACTGGTGCTGCTGGTACACATAACAATCATGTATATTACAATTCCAAAAATCGAACAAAAACTAGACATGAGGGATCATCGACGAAATATAACAACAGCTGAACAGCTCAACTTATCTTTTTAAGCAGCCCAAATAATATATAGACACCAATTATGTCTATTCAACTCATTTCGATTGATTATTCGAATTGAATTCCCGAACTTTTTTTTTTCTTCCTTTTCTCCCTCTATCTTTCTCGCAACTCCAACCATTTCACCGAATCTTTCACTGCTCGGGCGAAAGAAAAAATGTGGAAAAATATTCTTTTCATATTTCGTAAGTCTTTTTTGGCCGAGAGACAGAATGAACAGTGAAAAAAAAACGCCAACAACAACACACACACACCAAAAATATGAAATGAAATGTTAGTGAATAGAAGGAAGAAAAGAAAAAAAAATGCGATGGAATAAATAAATAAAAATATAGCAAAAGATAAATGAAAAGCGAAAAAGGAGAAGAGAGAGAGAGAGAGAAAAAAGCGTCCACATACAAAATTCAGGATACACTGATAAAGTCTAACTTCAGCATTTAAAGGATCGCAAATAGCAGGGCATAACATAGCAAATATTCTCTCTACTCGGTGTGCGCTGTTATTATCTACTTTTCCTTTTTGTTCCCGTGCCTCTTCTCTTCATTTCTCCGGTTCGGCGAGTTTCCACATTTACTTCTTGTGTGTACGCTTTTTTTTCTCGCTCTCGTCTATTTTTACTGCTATTTTCGGTTCCTATCGCTCGCTCACTCTATCGTTGTGTGTGCATTTCTTTTTCATTGGAGTCGGAGTTGGAGTAGTCATCGTCGTCGTTGCTGCCGTTGCCGCTTATATTTTTTTTTTTTTGCTCTTTTTCGTATTTCCATTTTTATGTGTTCACAATGTAATGTAAATTGTGTTTAGTTCTACGTATTCCGAAGCTATAGATATTCAGTTTTCTATACACACAGTATGAGTCGATTTATATGCTCGGCATGTTTAACAATATACAAGATGAACAGAAAGAAGAGAAGAGAGAGAAAAAAAAATAATAGTATAAAACGTAGTATATAAAGCGTTCAATATTATTCGAATGTACTGCTGCACAAAATAGCATTAAAACAAGCTAAAATGAGTCCACGTGGACTCGGTTATTTACTCTGGCATTTCTCATGCCACAGCATTTGTACATAAAACCGTGTACTAACAGCTCTCTCTCTCTCTCTCGCTTGCTCTATCCCGCGTCGTCGTAGCTCTCTCGTCCCTCATTCTGTCAGTTCCGCCGCTCTTTCGCTTCGGCCGCTGTTCGTCGGTTTTGTTTGCCTCGGTTTAGTCGCATTCAATTTTCCACGTATCTATCGCCTCTTCTTATCCACTCAGCAAGTACTGAACGATCATTTTGACTGAAGAGCGCGCACGCCTTAAATATGTACTATACGTTGGAAGTTTTGTATAACACACAAAGTACAAAGCGTTAAAAAAAAACCGATGTATTTTATATAGAAAAATATTTTTG